ATTGAATTAAAATAGAAAATTCGAAAAAAAACCCTCGTTAAATTAATATTCAACGTTGGTAAGGTAGAAAACCATATTTTCCGAATAGCAACATAAAATTACCAACAAAACACTGATTTTACAATGTTTTTAATGCAGAGGTTAGAATTAATAAGAATAATTGTTTTTTGTTTAAATGTACGTTTCTTTAAAAAATAATTATTTATTTTTGCTTCTAATTTAATTTTCCATCGTTTCTGCATCCATTTAATTGTTTTTTCTTGATTAAAAGACCTACAAAAGTCGTCCGTTTCAGTGCGTTTACAAGCTTATGATCATTTCGGATACCGAAAAGTGCTTGTATCTCATGGATTCGTTTACCAGCTATTGAGCTTGTAACCGCAATCCGACGTTCTTGTATCTTTTATTTTTTACTGGGATCGTAAGCCCATAGTAGACTTACAGTAAACCTAAAATGTCCGCCTTACAGTAAGCTTACATGGTAGGGTCGAGGTAAGCTTACATGGTAGGGTCGAGGTAAGCTTACACGGTAAGGTCGAGGTAAGCTTACACGGTAAGGTCGAGGTAAGCTTACATGGTTGGGTCGAGGTAAGCTTACATGGTAGGGTCGAGGTAAGCTTACACGGTAAGGTCGAGGTAAGCTTACACGGTAAGGTCGAGGTAAGCTTACATGGTAGGGTCGAGGTAAGCTTACATGGTAAGGTCGAGGTAAGCTTATGAGTAAAGGCTGTGGTAAGGTTATTATTAAGTTGTAAGGTTGAGGTAAGGTTGTGGTAAGCTTACAAGGTAAGGCAAGTTATATTCAAATAATAATATTAATAATAAATAAATATTCAATAAAAAAATTTTTCTTTTGCCTTATTCTATTTTGGGAACCTATCATTTCGCAGAAAGTTTTGAAAATAAATTTGGGAGGAGTAGGATTGGAACCCGGGACCGAAGTATATACCTAACAACCTAACCAACTGAGCTAAACGGGGAACTGACAATGAGAAAAGTAATCTTGCTTTTAAGGAGTTGATTATCTTCTTGGTTCCACTTTAAAAGTAAGATTACTTTTCTCATTGTCAGTTCCCCGTTTAGCTCAGTTGGTTAGGTTGTTAGGTATATACTTCGGTCCCGGGTTCGAATCCTACTCCTCCCAAATTTATTTTCAAAACTTTCTGCGAAATGATAGGTTCCCAAAATAGAATAAGGCAAAAGAAAAATTTTTTTATTGAATATTTATTTATTATTAATATTATTATTTGAATATAACTTGCCTTACCTTGTAAGCTTACCACAACCTTACCTCAACCTTACAACTTAATAATAACCTTACCACAGCCTTTACTCATAAGCTTACCTCGACCTTACCGTGTAAACTTACCTCGACCTTACCGTGTAAGCTTACCTCGACCTTACCGTGTAAGCTTACCTCGACCCTACCATGTAAGCTTACCTCGACCCAACCATGTAAGCTTACCTCGACCTTACCGTGTAAGCTTACCTCGAGCTTACCGTGTAAGCTTACCTCGACCCTACCATGTAAGCTTACCTCGACCCTACCATGTAAGCTTACTGTAAGGCGGACATTTTAGGTTTACTGTAAGTCTACTATGGGCTTACGATGTTACCTTACAAACCTTACATGTAAGCCTGCTGTAGGCCTGGTGTAAGATGTTGTGCTGTGTTGGATCATTAGTGGTTGTTTCTTTATCTTTGTGATTGGAAATTGCAGGAGACGGTAAGGGTTGATTAGTTTGTTTGTCGATATTACTATTCGTGATCGTATTTGAATGTGTTTGTGAGATTATTTTGGATGATGAAAATAAAAAATTAGGAGGGAGATCCATGGGGGGCGGAAAAGTGTGATTTATCACTGGTTGGATTCCTGATCGCGATACAACTGGGGATGATTGATCAGCATCTGGAAATTCGAATGACTCTGAACCAATGCTATTTTGCAATTCTTCAGTTGGGGGACTCATGTGAATATTTGTGATTAAATGAATAAAATTTATTTTCGTTATTAAATTCAGTATTACTTAGTTTTATTCCGTTTAATTAATATCAGATTTCATTATGTTTGTTTTGAACATTTATATACCACGCTAATTTTAATTTATATTATTATAGTAGAGTTTATAATTTAATTATCAATGTTAAAAGTGTTTGTATTATTATTTTATTTTTCATTGACATTCATGATTGATCGATGTAAACAAGCACTGTGATTAGACTTCAAGCACAATTTAAATTTATTACTTTATGCAAAATTAAATTTTTGTAAAAATGTTAAATATAAATTATAAAATCATTTCCATCACGCCCAAAAAATAAAAGGAAATAAAGGTATGGTCGTGTGGAAATTTGGATAATAATTGACGAAAAATGACTTCATTCAATTATCACTATTTGAACTTTTGCAATCATGAGGAAATAACCTCATAAATAGCTCCTTCAATATTAGATTCACAATTAGAGATCTACTCGATTGAGCGGTTCAAACAGAACTCCGAATCGCTAATACATTACTGGCGAAAAATATAACTAACTGAGAGAAGGTCAAAATCATAAACCACGCCCTCAAGAGAGATCCCAAGCTGTTGCGTTTTAAATTAAAACTGTTCTAGAATTTTATGTCTGGCTATTTATTTATTTAATTATAGGTGCTAACTGTGTTTATATCTTTTTGAATATTTTATCACACATCGAATATACCAAATTAGTGAACCATATATTCAATTTTTGGAGTGAGCTGTTGACGGCAACTTTGTCAATCAGCTGTTCGATTCATCCGGCCGATGTTTTACACATGTTGATTGTATGCTGTTTGAGGTGTTTAAATTCGAATCTACAAGTGGCTGGAGATTTTTCTGTGCTCCGATTTTATTTTATTGAGGGTGATAAAAGTTAATAAGGCTACAAGATGAGATTGTCGTCCTTTGTTATCTATTATTATTATTCAAGGTCAGTCATTCAACAGATTTCCTACGAGTCCCTTATGGTACAATTGTTCTGTCATTATTATAAATGTCAGCTTGAGTCGGTCTTATTTTCTTAAGGGGTTAAACCACTCTAGAATTTTCAAAAAATCAAAAAAATTTTTTTTGCTTTAAAAGGTGCCTAAGGGTGTATAGAATAAGAAACAATATCAATTATAAGTCGAAACACTTTTTAATTTGGAAGGTCAATTATACGGCGCATGCATTGCAGATTGAAGGTATATCCAAAAAGTCGTAAGTAAAACTTTAAACTCGTTTTTCTCAAAACTACATTTTTTGTGCTGGCCGGAAACATAACTTTTACAAATCTCAACCGATTTACTTAAAAATTAAACTGTAGCTTCTCAATAACATTATCTAGAGAAAGACGTACGGATTTTTTTTTATGTTGCATATTTTTTTTGTTATAAACAATTTAGTGTCAATTTTTTAAGTAAAAAACTCGGTTTTTCCTTAAAATGTTCGCCATTTTTGCAAAAATCAATTGAAAAAAAATCCCCTACGTCTTTCTCTAGCTTTTAAGATGTAAAAATAGAAAGAAATTTGTTTTTTGTTCTAGGATGAAAATTGGAGCTAAAACCTTTCCGGCCGCGACGTGATTCCTCTCAGAAAGGGTTTCTATCACGTACCTGTAAATTTGATATTTAAAAAAAAAAATAATTAATGAAGTATATTTTTTTTCTCTTTAAAGTGTACCTAATAAAGATATGTAAACATATTTTTCAGTACATTTAAACTTTTCTTGAAAAAAATTTCTAAAGTTAGGCCTTTTTTTGACGCTCTAGAGTGGTTTAACCCCTTAATTAAGCAATTTTAATTTTTCTTATTCCAAAATTTTGATGTATTTTAATTTATTGTTTGGTGAAGTTTTCAAGTTTGTAGTTTATTATAATTATTATTTTATTTTGTTTATTTCGAGTTTACTTGACTTCTTCACAATAAACCCCGATCTTTGTTTGTTTTTCCATAATACTTTTAAATATTACAATTTTATTAAAAATTCATTAAATGAAGGAAAATAGATGTGGATTTTGTAGTAAATTTAATGTCTTTTGATATTATGGTATCAATTTTGAAGATTAAATTAATTTTAACTTCAAAAATTGAAAACAAATTTTAAATCAATTTTTCGTAGACTTCGACCTTTTTGAAAAAAATTTTTAAATATCGTAAAAGAAAGCTTAAAGGTAGATTCGTTTTTGTCGGTAAATTTTTTTCTATCGATAATCGTGTAAATTTTTTTACTAAACAGTATCGTTCATTTAACTGAATTTTTAGTCCGTACAAAATGAACGATACTGTTCATTTAAGTTAATTTTTAGTCCGTCCAAAATGAACGATACTGTTTAGTAGATATGGCTCCAATAACACCTAGGAAGTTGGCCGCCCCAGTTTTCCAGCGCGCTTTGTTGACTGCAAGAAGACTAGAACCAGGAGGGGAAACTCCGTTGTAAAGATGCGGCGTGAAAAACAAGCCACTAGAAGGCGTGGCTTATCGTTCGGGCTTTGCTATTCAGACGAATTTGAGTGTTCTGCGCATACTGATATTTGAAATGTAGCAGACGCTGTTTTTAAGTTTCCATTTATGCGGTTATGGCAAATGGTTTACCCATAAATTTTTGGATGAGATTATTTAATAAAATTGTTCCTTTTTCATAAAAAAAAATGGTGAGAATATGCTGCGTGAGAAACTGTATAGTGGACGAAAAATATGGTAAAGAAAATAAACTGCATATATTTTCTCTATTTTCTTTTCCATCAGATGAGGTAAGTATTTATTATTATAATAAAACATATAAAATTAAAACCGTGTCTTATTAAGAATTAATATTTATTTATTCTATATTTTTCAAATTATCTGTTAACATTAATTTTTTTAAGGAATCAAAACACGTGTGGTTAGAGGCTATTGGCGATAACCTCAAAAAACAAAGAGGCAACAGGATTAAAAAATGTTTATTCATTTGTAATAAACATTTTACCCAAGATTGTCTTAGAGAAGGAACGAGAGAAATGTGGAAAAATGGAAATATTACCACCTTGGCACGAAAAAGGATAAACTTAAAATCTGGAAGCATTCCAACTATTTTTGAGGTATTAAGTTTTCTAATTTTTTTTTTAATAATTTAGTCTCTGTTCTACAATCGAAATAATTATGTTATATTTGAGCCTGTGCGAATCATGTCAAAAAAAGTCGAAAAGTAAAAGAAAAGGCTTGGTGGTGAAGCCAATCCTGTCTTCGGAATTCAATGCAAGGTGCCATGTCGATTTAATTGACCTCCAAACGCAGGCAGACGGTGAGTTCAGATTAATTTTAAATTACCAGGACCATTTGACGAAATATGTCGTTCTACGCGCTTTGAAAACAAATGTCATTTATTTATTATTTTTTATTTTTATTATTATTAAAAAATTCAAATTATTTTTTTCAGGATGAGAAGCACGGCGTTGCAGGAAAATCCGATTTTGACCAAAATCAAGATGACCAGAGCGTTCAAGGAAATTCCGATTTTGACCTAAATCAAGATGACCAGAGCGTTCCAGGAAATTCCGATTTTGACCCAAATCTAGAGAAAACGTCATCTAATTTACTTCAGGTAAATTTCTTTATAAAACTATTGTAAACTCTTATAAAATATATAATAACATACGTTTGACTTTAATTACATTTGGCAATACTTTTCAGGATGAGGAACACAGCAATTTTGAAGAAATAAGATTGCTTCAATCTGCGAAAACTCTCATATCCCAAAAAAGAAAAGCTGCCCAGAATGGTCTCCAACTTCAAGCTAAGAAAATGCTAAAATTTTCCAACAACAAATTTCTGCCTGCAGCAGTTGGTGATTCAGTGAAGATACCTATTCCTGACGTTAATCGTGGTCGAACTGATCCTAAAAACCTAATTGTCACTTTTCTATCAGTACACAATGAAACCTATGCATTGGGAACCAGAGAAGGACGCCTTAATCAACATTATACCAGGAATCAATTTACCCTCTGCAGACAAAAATTTTTGTTGCCTACCGAGGTTCCAGAAACAAAAAAATCTTTACGGGAAATTGTTAATGCACAATCCCTAACTGGCGGACAGGGCTATAAGAGATGCTTCTGTAAAGGACATTGTGATACTCGACGGTGCAGCTGCAAAGCTGAAAATATCCAATGGAATTCAAAGTGTTATAGTTCTGGTCCTTGTAAAAATAAATAGTTCATTATTTATCACTGATACTTTCCTGTCAATCATTTTTAACTTTACCCATGAAAATGTGGTCAATGTGTACATTTACCGGTCAAAGTGCATAGAAATCAAATTATACATATGTTTTACACACATTTACCATCTGCCGACACCTAAAATGGACAATGTATACATTTACCGGTAAATGTGCACATTAATCATCTATGTACCTTTACCGTAACATATACGAAATTGCAAAGTCGTTGCGAGCCGCGTATCTCCACTGCGCAATCTACTCAATGCACTCCCCTCCGTGACGTCAGTAGAGGAAATCATTAGATAGATGGCGGAGTGGGGTTACGCGACTCGCAACGACTCTGCAATTTCGTATACATGTGGAACCGCTGTAATTCGGTAGACAGCCTGACTTCAGCCCCTTCGGGGTCTTCGGTGCCCTCTGTGCCTTTGGTTCCTCTGCGTGTTGGTGCTCCTCGAAACTGGGTGAAACCTTTGCCTCTTGAAAAAGGGTCAAACTTTCTGTCATCTGCTCAATCACATCCTGCTCCCATGGAGTCTGAACTTTCCTTCCCACATAATGTTCCTCAGACTATGACAACATCCATCACTGACCCATCCCGTCAGATTTACCCCCCACCCCCGTGAATCTTATTCCTTTGATCAGGTAATAACTGTCGTTCGGGATGAAATTCAGGCTCCATGTGAATTTGTCTTGCAAGCTTCTTTTGATCAGAAGATTACATATCCTTATGACCTTATGTGGACTAATCCAACATATTCAGAGGACGCTAGATTCCAGTCTGATGCGCCTCCTCCTTCTATAGTGCTAGTAGAATCGACCATACCAAACCAGAAGATCGGAAAATATAATAGGATTGCTATAGCGGACTATTTCGACATTCGATTTACCGACCCTGATCGTGTGGTCGTGGCTAACGGAGTCAATCAATTGCGAGTGACCTCCTCCACCTGGACACTTACCAACCATTTGCTTGACTCCATGAAGGATAACGATCGAGCGTACAAATTGTATATTCCTAGGTCTCTAGTTAGTAGGAAAGCGTTGGCTCATGATGTCGATTTGGAATTGTCTCCTCTGGAGATCTGTAATAGAATGGAGAGCGAAATAATTCGGAAGGCAATCTCCATCCGCAGTCGTACAACTGAAGATGGTGATCAATCGGGGCAGATTGAATTGAGCTTTTCTGGAGTGTCGATTCCTGACTCGATTTTTATTTCTCGAGCCCTCTTTAATTTTACTCTGTTTATCACTCCCCGGAGCGATGCTACAAATGCCAAAGATTTAGACATTTTCGCACCGCACATTGTGCTAACTTTGGTGACAGCCACATGTCTTCATCAAGGGAGTGCCCATATTATATATACGAATTTTTAATAATGAAGCGCAGGCTTGAGCTAAATGTTGGCTACGATAAGGCGGAGGCGCTCTTGCTGAGTAAAGGAATTACTTAACCGGGTTAGGAGGTGGTTTGGGAGTCCACGATGGGACCGGCAGAGGATTAAAGTATTGCATCTCAGATGTCTCAGCCCTTTTCTGGTCCAACAGCTTCTTGCACTGACATTAACCTATTTTAACGGTTTGGTGGCTTTGACCGCCCTGAGGTGGCTCAAAATGAAGGCTAATAATTTGAAATTTTTTTATTTTATTTTAATCTTCTATTTTACGATTCTTGTTTGTCTTTTATTATTTATTTGTTCAATTTAATACTTTATTCTAACATTTTCAAACAAACTAGTTACTTGATAACAAATATTTTAACCCCTGACTAATGATTTTTTTCCTTTTTATATACTATATCTAGTGGATGTTATGCCGGACATTCCAATTGATTTGTACTATAGAGTTCAGTTATTTACAAATTGTTTTGTGTGCGACCTGTACGTGTGGTTTGTTTGTTTGGTTTTCGCGTCTAGTACGCATTTCTGTTTTATATTGTGTCTTCTTTGGTTTTGTATATTTGGTGCTTTTCTGTTTGCAGGGTTCCCTTGCTATTTCCAATTATGCAAAAACCCAGCCCAGTTCACAAATCGCTTACTCTGATTCTGTGGAATGCCCGCAGCATTATTCCAAAAAGAACTGAGGTAGATTTAGTTTTGTGGAAACATAATGCAGACATTCTTTGTGTTACGGAGTCTTGGCTCTCAAGTTCCAACGTCTTTGAGATCCCTAACTATATTTGTGTACGACAGGACAGACCCACTGCGGTAGAGGTGGGGAAGCACAGATAGCACGTAAGCTTCCGGCAAACTTGCCGCAAGGTTACTGCAAGCTTCAAATGTCTCACCTGGCTCAAGCTTGCATGGTAAGCTTATCCCTAGCGGATACGCCTGACGCATCTCGGACGCTTTTTGCGTCCAGGAAGCGTCCAGGGAGCGTCGGAACTGGACGGTATCAAAAAACATGATTGTAATGCGAAAATACATGAAAGTAAATCTTGTAATTGATAGAAAAAGTGTTCATGAGCAATTTAAGACCTTGTTTGCCATAAATTAATGCGGAATAACACTTTTTCAATGTTTTTCCAACATTAAAAATACATATCAAGCACACATTTCACGGAATTATATCTAAATCTTACAATACAAACTCCACCGACATTGGTACATATTTTACACTTTATTTCACTTATTTCGCATTAATTTATGGCAAACAAGGTCTTAAATTGCTCATAAACACTTTTTCTATCAATTACAAGATTTACTTTCATGTATTTTCGCATTAAAACCATGTTTTTTGATACCGTCCAGTTCCGACGCTCCCTGGACGCAAAAAGCGTCCGAGATGCGTCAGGCGTATCCGCTAGGGTACGGAAAGATTGCAGTGTAAGATTACTGCAAGATTGCACAATAAGATTGTCGCAAGATTGCTCAGTAAGCTGGCACTGTAAGCTTGTAGCAAGGTGATGTGCTGCAAGCTTCAGTTACCACGGTAATACATGACAGTTTTTCTTGTGATTATCTCCGTGTTCTGATTTTGGTTGACATCGTTCCGAGTCGCGCATCTACGAACAATAACAGCTTCTGTTTTAAACACCTTGACTAATCCAGTTTCCATAACCTTCTGGAACAATCTGTTTTTGAGTTGACGACGCAACTTTGTGGTGGCACACTCCCATTTGACATCTACAATTTATTTATAGATTTCATCAGAACACATTTGCGGAATAGTGGCGCTTTCATTCCTCGCAAAGATACTCCAAAACCATTTTAATAGCCAAGCTCAGGGATGATCTCATTCGACAGGATATAGCTCCGGTGGAAGTTCCCTTTTTGGAGACTCAGGTAACCTTTGACAGGGAACTCTTTCCTCCGTTCTCGAATCAGGTATTCAGTGCTGCTTTAGAACATTGTAAGCCTGGAACTGACCCTGGCCTTAACGGCATCACGAGTGAGATTATCAATCGTCTTGGTCCTGTGGCGTTGGAATTCTTGCTCGTGCTGTTTAATCGTATGTTTTTGTATTCTTCGTTTCCGGAATCTTGGCAGAGAACTCAAGTTAGTTTTAATCCTGAACCGGGGGGCAAAGGCTTTCAACCTATTGCTCTCACTTCTGTCTTTTGCAAAATTTTTGAACGTTTGGTTTAGTTTAGGCTTTAACACGCTAGAAATGAGGAGAATAATCCCTAAAGATCAATATGGCTTTCGTAAAAACAGGTCTGCCATTGACTGAGTGGCTGATAAAAACCTCTTGGGTCACAGATATTTTACTCGACTTAGCTTTGGAGATGTCAGACCCTGGTTTGAGGACATTACGTTGCGATGGAGTTGGATTAAACTTTCAGACAAAGGAACCTGCAGAGTAACCAAAGTAAGTAATGTTCCTGTACAGGATCCCTGTTCCAATATCCTGCAACGGATGCTGCGTAGGATCCCTCAGGGAACCTTTAAGGATCCTATGTAGAAACCTGTAAGGATCCTTTAAGGATCCTGTACAGGAATTTTTATCAGGGATATGGACGAAGTTTCAATACTGTTCTTTAAAAAGAATTAAATTTTTTATTAACAATTTACAATTTTCACAAACATGCCGATACAATAAAAACCAGGGTTCAATGATCAAGGAAGTCGGGAATACTGCGTTTGTGTTATATTTACAGCTATAGGAAACATATATTTTTATTTGAAAATAATTATTTATTTTTATAATAATACATAGATTTATAAGTGTTAAACGAATTAGGAAGTAAATTTTTCTATCCTCTTAATTAAATTATACTTAAAAATTAATTCTTTATGAGGTTCGAATAGGATATCGTATTAACAAATGTTTATGAATAATAATATAATTAGTTATTATTTGCTTAATTGGCTTGAATTAATCAAGACTTGATTCGGAATTAAATGATCGTTTTTACAAAACTTAGATACTAAAAATCAAAACGTCAAGATAAATTTGGAAAATTGTTATGAAAATGTAAGAAAATACTAATTTCAAAAGTTTTAGAATACCCAGTGGATGCATTATTTTGCCCATAAGACCTCCTAAGGATGTCCTTTGGATTTAAACAAAAGATATGTTTAATTTTATACATGATGTATCTTATAAACGTCATACTTTCTTAAAAAATCATATGCGCCTAGTCAATTCACGCCTTTAGAAGGCCAAAGGCCTTTTTTTGACATTCGGTAAAATTTATTTTTCATTTTTAAAATAGAAATTTAAAAAAAATTCAAAACTGCTTTTAAGTTTAATTTATTTATTGACTAATGAGTTTGTAACTTTTGTAAAAGTTTTTATTGGTCATGAATGGCTGAGAAGTTAAAGCGCACAGTTCTAGAAACATATTTAAAGTGTTCCAAGGATGTCCTAAAGAAGTCTTTTTTTATGAATTTTGGACGTCTCAAAGAAGTCCATTGGTTGTCTTTATGATTATGTTTCCTAGACATTATCATCTTTGTCCCAGGATGTCCGTGGACAAAAAATAACGTTTCTTGATGGAGATTCTAAAATAGGTGCAAAAGCACTCATGGGATTTGCACTTGGACTTGCA